GCATAACTACATGTCTCACCTGATCACAATGTAATTATTGGGCCCCCTCATGAAATCACAATCACATACATGGTCCTCTCACGGAATTCAAACTCAAGCTATTAGTATACCGACATGGTACCCAAGCCATCTATAGTTAGTGTATCAGTATGGTGTCTAAATCATTCATAGTTAGTGTACCTGCGTGGTACTTGAGTCAACCAACAATCACGCATAATCACATAGCGCAATGGACAAGACCACTTGAAAATCACAAATCACAATCACAAGTTCATTGCATGAGATGACCAACATGATGTCATTGCCTCCCTACCATGCATTGCAAAAATGTTACTACAAGTAGTAAACATGCATACATACTTAAATCAGAAACATACAACCAACACCTACATGGGTATATCAATAGCCTAACACTAGATCCCTTTTTATGAACACACATTCGTTTTCTTGATTATCACAACCTTAGAAATGGTTATAACCTAACAATATCATAACACTTAATCTTACCATTAACACCAAATCACCCTTAAGAAAACTCAAGACTAACAATCGAGAACTAGAGAACCACCGGTTTTCCTTAGTCATTATCTTTTCTTGCCCTGACATCAATAAATAACAACATTTAGTCATCTAAACTCCATACCCAAAGGTTTAGTCCCATCAATCCACAAAATACCATGCAGTAGTTAAGAAAACATGTCTAACTACTCAATTAAGGAAACCTAGCCTACCTGGGTGCCAAACAATTGTTGTAGAAGTCTGATCGCGAATCTTTAACCCTTTGTAAAGCGTTAGCTTGTTCTTAGTCTAAAATAACAAATACAACACAACATTCAATCAAACAATGACCTAATAACTCCCGGATTGCAACTAAATCCTAACCCCCAAGCCAATATATGATCATCTTCCCCAACTTAGGACTTTTTCCACCATGAAATTATGTCAAAAGTTTCCTCCCAAGAGTAATAACTTAGATTCTAAGACTTAAGAATCAATGTACAAGGATGTGTAGTAATAATGTTACCTTTATTGATGCTTTCCATGGAAAATCAAGTGTAACCTGCCTTAAATTTCCCCTCCCAAGTCCAAGAACACAAAATGCAAAAAATAAGGTTTTTAGGGTTATTTCTGCATAAAACCCCGATTCTATCACTAAAGCAACGCCACTACAATCGTGACTAACCTCATTGTAGAGGTCTGATCCCCAAATCAAATGAAATCGATTAATTTAATCGGCTTGATTTGATTTTTTAATATGAATTAATTTTTACCCTGATCGTAAACACCCCGCTGCCCGCCCCAATGGAAACCATCCTTCCTATCATCATCATATATCATATATCATATATCATCATATCATATCATATATATATTATAAGTGGGAAGCTTCCAAGTTAAAAGTTGAATTACAAAAATACCCTTCAACTAAAAAAAAAGATATTTTTAATAAATGGTTGTAATATAATTTTATACTTATTAAGCTTTAATTGTTTTGTATAATAAAATAATAAACGGAAAATGAAAAAACCAAGGAGACGATGATCAGATGATAATTTTTTATACTTAAAAACTTTTGATTTTGTGTTAGAGAAAAGAACCCTTTCCTTTCTTCATTTATTTTTTTAAAAATAGACCAATAACTCTATAAATTATCTAATCTTTCCTCTTCCCCAATACCAATAACTCTCTAAATTATCTAATCTTTCCTCTTCCCAATTTATTACTCAGTTAAATCGTAAGTTAATATAATTATATATATTGAATGAAAGATGAAACAACTTCCTGAATATACCGTTCATATTCCTTTTTTGCACTTAGTATAATTTATATAAATGCATATTATCATATAAGGTAATAGGACTGCTTCACTTCAGTTGCAACTTAATATTATGATATATTTTTTTGCCTCATATTCTTCGTATTGCTTTCATTTATTTTTTTTCTATTTCATGTCTAATGTAGTGTATTTCTTTGCTTATAACAGTTAGGTGAATAATTTTTCTTCCATATTATTCTCATTTGTAAATCATAAGGTGTGTGCGTTCATATTCTCATTCATTCCTGATTTTTTTAATAATGTAGATGCATTCTTAGTTTGAATTTATTTTTACTATTTATTAAGTTTCGTAATTGGAGTGGTAGTTCCTTCAAAGAAATATTAGTAAATGACATTTCAAATATCGTGAAAAAGATATTTAGAGTTGATTTATATTGTAAGCACATTTGAATGTTGCATATGATTATGGTAGTCCCCCTTTCTCATTTTCTATCTCCATTTTCACTCTTAAAAAGATAAAAATGATTTCTTTCCTAATGTAATCACCATTCTTTTGCCTTCTTTTTTCATATAAAAGTGATAGTCAATTCATGATTTTATAAAAAGAACTACAAAAATGGATACGAGGAGAGAAATGTGAAATATATATTTTGCACTTGAAATAGGTAATTGATATATGTCGTGTCAAACAAATAGTTAATTTAATTTGTAGTTTTAGTGATAAAGTTTGATTAATTTTTAGAGTGTGTAATTTATTTTCACCATTATAAATTAATTACATACGCTTTAAATTCATTGTAATACAATGTAAATTACCTTGGTTATTATTAATTATTTCTATTTTTCATCTTCCTATGTATTAACTTTTCTCATAATCTATTTATTTTCCTTTGCCTCAAAACATTGCTGTCAGATATATATAAGTTACTGATATTATTTTGTTTCTTTTTGTTGTCTACTCTTTACCATGCTACCATATCTTATGTGTCAATTTAGCTATCAAACTTTTTTCAGGTAGAATATTAATGACCCATGAAATTTATTCTTGAAAAGCTCGGTGTTTTCGAAGTTATTTCCTAATCTATTTTCCAAGTTATTATATAGATCTTAAGATTATTGAATACTTATTTGTTAAATTGAAGCAAATTACTCTGTCATGAATTTTATTACATCTACATTTTTATCTATTGTACTTAAATTTGACCTTTTTATAGCAAGGGTAAAACTTATCTGCACCGAATGTATACACCAAATCAATACATGCATGCTATGTGTTTAAATTTATAGTTTATTTTACTTAACTATAATTAATTAACATATATTTTACTTCATCAAATCACGTAATAATGAAAATTGCATTAGTTGAGTGCATATATTCGGTGCGAATACGTTTTTTCCTATATATAAACACATTTATGTAATGAGAAATAGACAATGTAACAAAGAAAATTACAAGTTTATTTTGTAGAATAGTCTAGGTGTTCTTATAATGCAAATGTGCTATATCTATATATAATATAATAGTGTTGTTCTGCCACAAAATTAAGGGAAAATGATGAAATTACATCTCATCAGAGGGTTTTTTTTTTTTTTGGCAACCAATGTGAAAATTACCATTAACAAACAAACAAAACTTACAAACTAAGAGCATTTCAACCTCAGTACCTTAACTGGTATTAGAGGAGTGACCTCATCAACTCAAACTACTTACATAAATTCTACCAAAAACTCCTACATCTATGTGCTCTTTTGGTATTCTTATGCATGTCTATCCTCGCTATAAGTTCTCGAATTATTCCCTCCACTATGTCAGTATACTGTATTTGTACTCCTTTGAAATGCTTCCAATTCCTTGCCTTCCAGATGTGATACACTATTGCTCCCCAAATAGCAGTCACCACCTCTTTCTTAAACTTCTTCCAATGCTTCAACTTTATCATCTCCAATGTAGTTTTTAACTCTTTTGCGGGAATAAAGATGTTGGCCCATTGTAGTAATTTAGCTCTCACCTTTGCAACATATTCACACTCTACAAACATGTGCTTGTACGACTCTATCATTCCATTTTGACACAGGCAGCAGCTATTGTCTTCTACATATACTCCCATATTTATCAACCTATCCTTTGTGAGCAATCTATTTTGCATTGCTAGCCACAAAAAGAACCTCTGCCTAAGTAATACGACAGAGTTCCAAACTAATTCAGCTACCTCAAGTTTCTCTTGATTGCCTATCAGATCATTATATCCACTTGTAATTGAATACTCCCCATTTGTTGTAAGGTTGAACTGCCCTTACGTATACCATTGTTGCATCATATTTTTCAGGGAGTTTATTTTCCTCCAGTACCAACTACTATCAACTGGTGCTTTGTGAGTCCAGACTGTATCAGTTTTTATGTAAATCCCATGCACCCATTTCACCCATAAGGATTCCTTCCTCATAACCAATTGCCATAAGAGCTTTCCAACAATGGCTACATTCCATTTACCACATCCTTTTATATTAAGTCCGCCCTGCTTCTTTGGATAACATATTTTCTCCCAAGAAACCAATGACACTTTCCTTTTTTCCTCATTGCCTCCCCACAAATATTCTCTGCATTTCTTGTCCACCTCTTTCACTACACTCTGAGGTAGGATGAACACTGAGCCCCAAAAACTGTGTATGGAGAACAAGACTGCCAAGATCACTTGAAGTCTGCCTGCATAGGAAAGTTGTTTTGCATAGGTGTACTTGATCCTGCTTGTTATTTTATCAACTAGTTGATGGCATTCCATTTTTCCCCACCTTTTTGATCTCATCAGAGAGTTATTATTAATAAAACACGATCGGATGTATACACCCAATTAATACAATTTCTATTATTTCATGATTTAATGAAGCAATTATTTCGTAATTTAATGAAGCAAAACATATGTTAATTAATTATGGTTAAGTAAAATGAACTATAAATTTAAACACATGACATGCATATATACACCCAATGTATACACCCGATGTAGTGGACTCATTTTAGGATGCTTGGAGTCATGTGACTTGCACATAGATGGGTCTGTTAATGATTTTAACAGAAGTTTCATGAAGGATGGAATTTGCTAAGTTTTGAATACATTAAGGATGATTTTTGTTCAATATGATAGTTGAAAGATGTACATTAAGTTTTGGTTATAGATAAAGATGTTTTTGGTCAAAAACTCAATAAAAGTAATATAAGTAGCAAATCCTAGCAGGTTCTCTCACTCTTGCCTCTTTTTCTTCTCTCTAGCCTACATTTAGGGTTTGTTGATCGGTTCACAATTCTCCTTCAAAGATGATCGTTTTGAGGAGCTCCGACGGAGAGACCTTTGAGGTCGATGAGGCGGTGGCGCTAGAATCGCCGACCATTAAGCATATGATAGAGGACGACTGCACTGACACCAGCATCTCTCTACCCAACGTTACTAGCAAGATCTTAGTCAAGGTCATCGAATACTGCAAGCGCCATGTGGAGGTTCCTAAAGCTGAGGATAAGACCGCCGAAGTGGATCTCAAGACTTTCGATGCTGAATTCGTCAAAGTTGATCAGAGCACCCTTTACGATCTCATGCTGGTATGGATCTTTTTAAATCTATATGTATATCTTAGTTGATTCGTATGTGTTTTTGATTACGATGATCCGATGGTTCAATTATTAGTGTGCAGGATTGCTGATTCTTTAATTAATTTATCTAAATAACTAGAAAGAGGCAAAAGTCATATAACTTTTTTATATTCTAAAATTATAGTTGGATGAAATATGTGACTCCTATGGTAGAAATGTCATATAGAAGCCAAGGGTGTGGCTTGGTGGTCAATGAAATGGTTGAGAGCCATCAGAGGTTCAATTCAGTGGAGACAAAAAACATTAGGTGGTTCATCCCATCTATCCTAGCTTCACCTGGTATTTGTTGTTGATGGGAGGTGGTAGAAATCCCATCGAATTAGTCGAGGTGCGTGAAAGCCGACCAAGACACCACGTACATCCAGTAAAGTGTCAAAGCAGTAGCAAATAAGAGAAGAGCAGTATCAAAACCAAAAAGAACGAATGTTTCTATATTTGGAAGTTCTTTAATTTTTCCATTTACCCTTAGTGACATTCTCTTATAGGCAATGATAATGTCATTTAGTGACATGTTTAGATCACATGTTCCAACTAAAAAGTACTTTCTATGTGTTAGAACTTCCTTTATCTTTATTAAATTCCATTCCCAGTCAAGCACCACCTCCATATAAAATTAACCAGAAGATTATTAGTTTTCTGTGATCAGTTTGGTAATTTTTTGTTAGGTTTTGTTTATCTTGTGAATCTATGGTAGTTTGTCAATTCACCTTTTACTTCTGGCTACCATTGCCTATCGACATCGCTTTTGTTTGCTGTCTCTTCCATAGACTGAGTTTCCGCTCTAGTTTGCTCCTGTTTAAGCTTCAATGGTAATATACATTTAGTTTATTAGGGCGGTCACGAATAAATTAATCAATCAATTATGTCTCAGTCCCAAACTAAATCATTTCTTCCATATCCTTTCTGCTTTATTTGGCTCCAAGGACATGTCTATGTGTAGTTGTTTTGTTGTAGTAAACAATAAACTGCAGTTGGTTGTAGTTGTTTGAAGTAATGAAATGGCGTTTGACTGCTACTTCTATAGTTCTATTAGTCTGTTATGTTTGGCAAAAAACAATTCCCTTTGTCATGGTTAAGTGAACTTTCTTTTGCTTAGTACAACAGTATAGTACTATAGTGGCTCATTCTAAAACAATGGGTAAGAACTAAGAAGATTTGCTGTAACACTAAAATTGAAAATAAAACTAAAACATAGTAACATACTTGTAATTGTAAAATTAGAGTGAAGCATATATTTTACCTTTAGAACATGTAGTCATACTTTAGTTTGTTGCCTATTTTAAGAAATAAATGCTATATGGACATGTTTGCAGCACATTTTGTTTACATGTTTGATGTGCCTCTCTGTTCCACCTCCTGAGTTCTTGCCTGGGTATTTTGAATCTGTAGAGTGGCTAACAATTGTTGAATGTGTTTTTAATTGTTAAATTTTGCTGTTTCTTTTAAGCTTACTTGTAGGTTTCCATTTCTTTTTAGTTATTGCTATTAGCATTTAATGATTTACAATGGACCCTCCCTCTTAGTATCTAATTTTCTCAAGTTTGTAGAGATTTTCTTTTACCTTTTTCTGTTGAGAGCTTGTATTTGATGTTTACTGTGTTTAGGTGATCTCACCCTATGGCTGTTGTTACTGTTCCTTGCATATAGTTCTTTGCTATTCGTTGCTATGTTTCTCCACCTATTTTTTCGTTTTATTACTGCTTGGAGTTGCTTGAGCCGAGGGTCTTTCGGAAACAGCCTGCGTACACTTTACCCTCCCAAACCCCACTTTGTGGGATTTCACTTGGTATGTTGATGTTGAGAGCTTGTATAGAGGTTAAGTATCCTTTGCGTTGTCTCTTTTCAGGCTGCCAACTATTTAAACATAAAGAGCTTGCTAGATCTGACATGTCAGACAGTAGCAGACATGATCAAGGGAAAGACGCCTGAGGAGATAAGCAAGACATTCGACATCAAGGATGACTTGACTCCTGAGGAAGAGGAAGAATTCAGGAGGGAGAATGCCTGGGCATTCGAGTGAATTTGAGTCTGTTAAGCATCCATATCTGTAGATAGATCTGCAATATACTTTAGTAGATGCTATGAATAACTTATATCAGTAAGTGTGTGACTGTTGTTTCTCGGACATTCTGGCTTTGGCTGTTGAACATCTTTTGCTCTGTTATGCCGTGGTTTCTTATGTTCTAAGTAAAAATTGAAGGTAAAATCATGTTGGTAGCCGATGTCCATTTTCATTGATCTATTATTGGAAATTCATATTGTTTGTTGTGTTTATCATCACTGGTGCATTTAGCTTCTTTACTCTTTACTTAAATGTAAGGTCAATTCCTTGGCTTGTGCAATGGTTTGGTTGTGTTGTTTTCTGTCACAGAAGGATGTCAGACTAGAGAGTGTATGTGACTAGTCTTACATGGGCATGGTATTTGAAGGCACATAATGGCCTAGGGTTTGTAGGTTCTTACCTTGAAGCCCGCTTTAGACAGACTCAGTTGAGAGTTTGAGTGTCACTAAGAGATGGAGAAGTCCACTTTGGTGGGTGATACAGTGTGATGGCCTTGGTCCAATGAGTAGTGCATTATGAGAAGAACCAATATTTATCATAAATAAGAGCTGTATATTTGAAGTTTGACCTTCATATCTTATTCACGATAATTTCTTCTCTGGTCTTTTTCCTCATTAAGCGGCTGCACAACTATACTTGGGTGTGGCAGGATAATTTGTTTGGTCTTATGTCTCCCTGTTCTTATTATGTGATTATTTCCATGACATGTTTGTTTCAGTCGGATCTGGGCAATGTTATCTGTTGTGGCAGGATGACTGGCCAGACCTTGTATTCCTGTTGCTGTTTGAAGATAGCTGGTATGGAAATATACTTACAATTTTGCCAATGTAGTTCGGTGAGTGATGGTCATTTTCTTTTTTAAAAAAAATCATAAAAATATGAATGGGCTATAAGGAGATCCTTTTCGTCATTTAAATATGTCGCTACATGAACAAAAGAAGAAAAAAATAATAATACTCCAAACAGAGAGAATGGAGAGGAAGAAGGAAATGATAACCTTTCGGACAAGAAATTCGCTCTTGTCAACTGTGTTAGACAATAGCCATTAGTCAAATTGTTGGACTAGAATTAAAGTGTTTTATTAAATCAAATACAACAACAACAACAAAAAGTTATATGTTTTGTTTTGCCTCTTGAGAGAACTTGTGTTTTATGAGAAATATGGAAATTTTGGTTAATTAGTCGGCAAACTGAACTTTCAGCTTTTCTGTGGATTTGATTCTCTATCATATAATTCATTCACTGTTAATCACATAGAGAATGTTTAACAAAAAGAAAAAGAAACGAACATTTCCGGCTCACTAGGGTGTCAAATTAACTTCAAAAACAAAGAACTCACCCAGATTTTTATGGGTTTGAGTTTAAGGTAACTCATTTAAACATTAACCATTTTAGAATGGTTGTCAACTTAACCTAATTTAATTCTTACTTCAATCCACATTTTGTCTTCATAAAATCACATATATTGCCCTAATATTTTTCATCATATCCAGTAGGATTAGATCTCGGATCGGATCGAGTCTTGGATCCCAGGTCAAGGTTGGAACCAGATCTCGAATTCCAAATCGGGGTTGGATTGTAGATCACGGGTTTCAAGTTAAGGCTGGAGTCGGGTCGCAGATCCCTAGTCGGGATCTGGGTGGATCTCGGGTCAGGACCGTTTGAATCATGTTCGGATTTTGAGTTCCAGATCGGTATTGGTGTTGGATTTTGGATTTCGAATTTCGTGTTGGGGTTGGGTCTTGTGTCTCGATTTTCGGGTCTGATCGTCTCTCTTGGCCCGAGTCTTAAAGTCTCAAGTTCCAAGTCGAGTTTTAGGACTATAACTTTTTGGATTTTTAATTTTAGCGAATTTGATCTCTTTTCTTTTCATGAATTACATAAGTATATCAATAATGTTTAGATTAAGCAAGTCAAAATGGATGGATCATGATCCAACTTAGTATTTAATTCAGTTTAGTCCACTTAATTTAGTCCAAAATAAATTTAAATACATCATGATTTAACTAAATTTTTAATTCAATCAATTTTAATTTTTAACATCTTTAGTTTAAGCTCGATTTGTCCATTTAACACAACAAACAAACATGATTATAATTATAATTTGTTTATGGCTGACTGTCTGACGGGTGTTTTACTTAAAGAGAAAGGTTATCAATTTGTTCAGTTTGAACACAGGCATTAGACGGAAGTGTGCAGAAAAGGGAAGTGAAAGAAAAAAATATTGTTACTACTCCTTTTATCTCAATTTATGTAATACATTTCATATTTTGAGAGCCAAACAATTTAATTTTGACTGAGAATTTGCTCATGGAATCTTAAAAAAAAATTAAAATGAAATATATATATATATATATTTGTAAACTGTGTAAAAAGTACTTTAAGTTACAATAATTAACAATTCAAAATATTTAAAATATATATGAAAAATTTATGGTAAAAAATAAACTTGTTTGAATTTCGATATCCGAAATGTTTCATATAAATTGGAACAAAGGAAGTACCATTTATCATTGGACTAGTCTCTGGGCACACGCACGCGCGTGTACCCTATACGTCAATAAGTAAAATTCTTATAAAGTTATATAAATATTATTTTAAAATGTAATACCAACTTAACCTTAGTGAATCCATCTTACTGTTTTCTTCCTTTAAAAACAAGGGTGAAATTATAACATTATAATATTAGATCGATCTTGTGCATAACTTTAAAACAATGAACCAAAAACATTACAAATATAATTTATATAAAAACACAAAATGTCGAATCAAATGAGATTCATTTAATATAAGGTAATCAAACTTAATCATTGTAGGACAATGTAGAAGCAATACTTGATATTTCTAACCTTATGAATTCATCTTCCTCAAAATTCTTTTCGGTGTTTCTAAATAAAGTGAAGATGTCAAACTTAATATCATATTATAGATAGACTAATTCGAAAATATATATATATTAATGATCAAAATCTTACTAACAAACAATAGAAGATGGGAAAAGAGGAGAAAAGAAGGAACTTTACCAAAGGAGTACGTAGAACGGCTAGTGGAAGAACCCAAGAAGAGAAATTTGTATTTGGTAATGTTATTTATTGATTTAACTGCAACTCTTCGGGTAAAAAACTTAACTATACAAGTTAAGTACCTTAATTACCACTATATATCAATATATTTTTTTCGCCTATATAACAAATTTTTTTTTCAAAGTTGTGTTTTACTATTAAAAAAGGTAAAAAAAAACGGTTAGATTAATGGCCCACGATTTCCCAATATTTCTCAAATCTTTTACCTTCCATGATTTGCTCAAATTGGTTATAAATATTTTCTCCTATCACCAAAAAATTTCTTAACAAAAATAGAACTCTCTTTCTGTTCATTTCTGGTCCACTTCAATCATGGATACCAATAATTATTCAATCATAATTCACCATAAAGGACGTTGGGACGCATCGGGTATTAGTGATAATTCAATATTTGATTGGTATTACTTTTTTAATTCTTTTTTGTAATTGAAAAGTTGATGGTTACGTTGTGAGTACTATGATTGGTATTTGATTTTGTATTACAATGAACAAAATAACGTTGCAAATATATTGAAAACTTGATGGTTCATTGTGAGTACTATGAGTCGTTTATTCATTTAATTAATGATGTAATATATATATGTTGTTTATGTTATAAATCAGTTTCATGTTCATATTTTTTTTATTAATTCTTTGATTTTTTTAGGGTTATGATAATCGGAATACAAATATATTTAGTGATAATATATGTTTTGATAATTGTTTTGGTGAAAGTGAACGTTTTTTAATTATCAAATGTTGGACTGCATGTTAGTTGTACTACTGATTTTCTTTGTGTCATTTGAAATTGGTTTTCTTGGTACTAATGATGGTAAACATGTTGATTACCTGTTGGTACATAACTATGGTGTATATGGTGTAAAAAAGCGCCGGAAAACTGAAAATAAAAAAATCACATGACAACTTACAAAATCATTGAAACATATCCAAAACGCAACTAAGATACCATTCAAACGTAAAACAAGGGAATAAAATCCATAAAGAAATACATTATGGGCGTACTATCAACACCCATTACTTGTTTATTAAGTCGAGGGCTCTTGCGTGGAGTCTTATCCATCGGTGGAGGAATATAATTCTGATCGAAAAAGAACTATGGTGATTTTGGTTGTAAAAAATAAGGACTTGAAAAGGTGGAAGGTTACAATTTTGTTCTTGAAATGTAATACAAAGAAAGATGGAGATTGAAATCTGAAAAGTAGAAGATGAATGGTTTTTACTTGGAAACAATGAATCACCTAGGTAAGTAAGAACACCAACTTTATTGAAAACATAAAAGGTATTATAAAAAAGGAAGCAAAATAGTCATTAACTCATGGAAAGTAAATATATCATGTACATGAAAACGTATATAACCGGGACTATTTAGGAGAGATAAAATTGAAAATTATTAAATACCCTAATTATGCTCCACATGAAAGGCACATAATTAAAAACCATAAAAAGATAAAACCGAATAGAAAGAGAAAATACGGGAAAAAAAATACATTAAAATAAAAATTAATAATTTATTTTGTTATCTATGTAATTTAAAAACTCTTTATGTAATTCTATATAAATATATTGATTTTAAGTTAATTAAAGTCTTAACGTGTATATTTTTGTAATTTACCCTTATTGAATTTTAATTATTTTACCAATTACATATGACTCTGAAAATTCTAGAAATCTTAATTGACTCTTGATCTTTTATATTACCTTTCTAATAAATAAAAGTTATCATTCAAAAAATAATTAAAATATTATTATTTAACATTTAATTAATTAGATGTTTAATTTAGCTTAGAGTAAAATGGTAATCCATTTTTAATAATATATATGATGATGATATAAGGTATGTTTGAATGGTAGAACTACAATTAAATCCAACCTTCATTTGCTATGTTGTGATGAGTTCGTCCCTTCAAGCTTGCCTAAAAAAAGGTTTACATGATTTACATTTTTTATATAACTAGTTAACATGTTCGCGCTTCGCGCAATTATAACAAATATTTTAAAGACAATTTCTTTTATAAATTAGCACATACTAAAAAAGAAGAAATATGATCAATACTTTGGTAAAAGCTTTAAAATGTTTATGATAATTGTTTCAATTTATAAGATACTATTTTCGTATTATTTTGTTGGGG